GCTATATTTTCATTTGTACTTTATCAAATTTGTTTTTACAGGTTTTTAATTTTAAACATTTACATTAAATATTTTAAATTTATTTGTTTTGTGCCCGCAATTTAATTTTTGGAATTGTCTATTTTTGTTATTGCTTCTATTAAAAACACTATATTTTTGTGCTGATAAGCCTTAGTGGTCAAATAATTGTTATGGGCAGGTTACAATATAAAAATGTTTGTCATAATCATGTCTTGTGATTATTTGACAGGAGTTTTACTTTTAAAATGTAAGAGTATTTAAATTAGTTAGTTATGATAGTTTAGTTATGATGTAAATACAATAAAAATTAAACCAAGATTTAGAATAATTATCATTTTGATCCATACATTGGTAATGTCTGACTGGGCCTCGTGCCACTTTATGTTCAACGAATTGGGCCTCAAGGTCAAAAAGGTTAAGAACCCCTGCCCTATATCATATATTTAACTGATTTTTCCCAAACAATCAATGATTTGTAAATCAGAAATCAGAAAAAATTAGCAAGGCTGCCCAAACTTTCGCACCCCACTGTATATGCAGCCTCAGTGTTATTGGCATATGATCTGTGCTCAGCACACACACATTTACACAGCAACAGTAACATTGTTCAGCTGAAAAACAGTGACAAAACTATAAGGATGTCATATAAAGTCTAACACACATAACTTTGACTCTGTCTCCCCACTCTGTGCTCTATGATTAATGTCTAATAAGGTGTTGACTATTAGTAATTAATTAAAAAGGTTAATGAAAAAATGACCAGACTATCCATTTAACAGCTGGTTTGGGTTTAGACTTAAATTTTGTTGATGACAACCATTAACAGGCCTTATTACTGAAGTGCTGTTTTATATCTGACTATCATAGTTGTGATCAATAGGGTACTCAGTTCCCAGTTTGAGCAGCATGCTGGGATGTAAACAAGCCTCGCATTGCAATGATTTTCAACTTCATATTCTTCAGAGGACATTTTTCACTTCAACTCAAAATCTTCAGGGTGCTACCAAAAAAACAAGTAAAACACTAAGTTGCAGCCTAAAATAATAAAAGAATGAAAATAAAAATTTGATCTGACTGTTGGTAATTCATGTTTTATGTACATTTTAGAATTTGTAGAATTTAACTTGCTGTGCATTACCACTACATCAAATTTTGTAGCTTAAATCTTTTAATCACAGATGTGCAAAACTCAAGTTTAGCATCTTTTGCAATTTCACCCACGGATACAGAAAATGTTAATTTTCTGATTCATTAGGAGAGCAGTTTCCCTCTGTGCAAATGTTGCATAAACAAAATAAACGTTCAGCACAACAATAAAACTCACTGAGGTATTTTAAGCAGATTTTAGTAAAAACTTGAGTCACGTTTAGATGACTTTGGTGATTAAATGATGTGAAGCTGTGAACACAAAATGTTAAATGTTATGTCTAAATGTTAAATCCTAAATCTAAATATATATATGGACATGGCCTTTCCACTCGGAGACACTGTAGCGCTCGAGTCAAACGATGGCCAATGCGTAAACCTCGTAAAATAGATTACTTTGGCTTAAACCAGACAACTATTGTGAAATAATTCATTGATTAAATTTTAATAAATTGTGTCAAGTTAAAACCATTTAAGTTTAAAAGGTCACTGAAGTTGCATATTGTAACAGCATTTCAACCCCCCCATTTTAATAAAAATGCTTAAAAGGGGAATGCTTGTGTTTTGTTTTTGGGGGTGATTTTTTATTCATATTTTAACTTTGAGAAACAGATTAGTTCTGTAATAAAGAGATCTTTTTTTAAATTACCCGACTTTATCTTAAGTGAACTTTTATAATCATTTTAAGGGCTATGCACAGGTGATTCATGTTTTATTACCTCCCAACTGGATCACTTTAACTCTGTATGCTGGTGTTAACTAGGCCAGCCTCTCATGACTGCAGTTCATTCAGAAGACTGAAGCTCGTCTTTCAGCGTGAACAAAAAAAAGGCATAAAACTTATCTTCCTGTTCCCCTTCACTGGACCCCATTATTGAATAGATTTTATCATTTTATTAATGAACAAGACCCCCAATGAACAGGCTCCTGTATTTCAGTCTGACTTCCTACAGTCTTATGCAGCCCTCCAGATACTTTGGATTTAATGATCAATTGTTTTTAATTGTCCTGAGGTTCAGGTTGGTTCTAGGGTTTTTCAGTTCCACATCTTAAACTGTGGAATTCGTTCAAATTCAATTCAAATATATTTTATTAACCCCAAAGGGAAATGAAATGTTTGTTGCCCCTTCATATCAGACAAGCCTCAACTAAAAGTGTTTTTAAGTCTCATCTTAAAACATCATCATTTAAGGGCATTACTGCCACCACTAGACTGGAATATGCTCGGTGGACATGCCCATATTTCTGCCTTTTAATTTAAAAGTTGTTGTTTCTGGTTTTCTACAGGAAGAACTTTGTCTCTGACTCACAGTGGAAAAATGTGTGGACATTTCATCAGAAACCTTTGAGCAATAACAAAATGAAAAATGTTTCTTTTAAATTGTTGCACATTATGTATCCTACTAATCAGTACATGAAATATATTAAAACAATAAACCCCAACAGTAAATTTAGCAAAGAGCATCCAGAAACAATCAGTCATTTCTTCTGGAATTGTCATATCACAAAGGTACGTTAGAATGAATGTAATCATTTTATTTTCTGTAAAATTGACACTAAATTTTCACTAAGGCATGAACATATCATTTTTGGTTTCCATGAAGATAATACTAATATTAACAGAAGACTAGCAATTAATATAATTAGAATATTTGGCAAATTTCATATTCACTAATGTACATTTTCATCGTCTATCTTTTTTTACAGTTTCGATTAAAGAAATCAAATTAAATGGTAAATGGACTGAACTTATAGAGCGCTTTTCAAGTCCCTCCGGACCCCCAAAGCGCTTTACACTAACAGACATTCACCCATTCACACTCACATTCACACACTGATGATGGCAAACTACACTGTAGCCACAGCTGCCCTGGGGCGCACTGACAGAGGTGGGGCTGCCATGCATCGGCGCCACCGGACCCTCTGACCACCATCAGTAGGCAAGGTGGGTGAAGTGTCTTGCCCAAGGACACAATGACTGAGACGGCTGGGCGGGGGATCGAACCAGTGACCTTCTGATTCCAGGACGACTCCCCTAACCACTCCGCCACAGCCGCCCCGAAAATAAATAAATTATATTTATCTGCTAAGAGTACAAACAAAAAGCTGTAAACACATACAAATGTTGTAGATCATTGAATATATTTAATTTATGATTTATTTTTTGGTTCTAAGTGTATTTGATGTAGAAACCTACACCCCTGGCATACTTTAATTATTCTGTTTTGTTCCTTGTTCTCTTTTTGTATTTGTACATGAACTTTCATTTGTAAAGAATTTTTATATAAAACAACAACAACAACAACAAAACGTAACAAATAGCAATAAATTGTGGGTAACACACTTCGCCAAAGTTGGCTTGGATGCGGGCTTAGCCAAAGTGTGGATCAAGGGTGCTGAGGGGGCGGGGCCAATGACCACTGAAGATAATTGGGACACACTACGCACTCAAACTCGTCAGCGAGAATGCGCATTTGAAGTACACAAGGATGAAAGTGCAAGTTTTGGGACAGGGCCGTAGAGACAAACAACCATTCACTCTCTCACTCACACATAGGGTAAATTTAGGTTACGTTAGCCTAACCGTCATGTTTTTTGGTCTGTGGGAGGAAACTAGAAAAAACCCACGCATGCACGGAGAGAACATGCAAACTCTGCCAATCAAGATCTCTGGCCGGTATTCGATCTGGCAACCTTCTCACTGCAAGGCAACAGCTCTACCAACCGAGCCACTATTCTGCACTCGTTGATTTCTAAAATGTTTTACACACGGCTACATTAAAAGCATTAAAACAAAAGGAAAATAAGGGAATCATTTTCTTTCCTACCTTCAGCTGTGGGAGCAGCTCCACTCTGAGCTCCGGCCTGAACGTCTGTATCCACCGATAGACTTGCATCAGCTAAAAGAAAATCATGAAGAGTTACAACTAAATCCTCATAACAATCAGGAACATGCTAATTATCGGTTCTGTGATCTAGATCAGAGGTTTTTAGCCCTGTTCCTCGTGATCCACTGTCCTGCAAGTTTTAGCCTTTTCTCTGGTTTGGCACACCTGGTTCAAATAATTAAATTACCTACTCAAAATGTCATCAAGTTTAGCAGAAGCCTGCCATTCATTTCAATGAGGTGTGTTGAAGCAGGGGAACAAATAAAACAAAAAATGACTGGATCTACACAACAGGTAATGTATTTACTTTACATTTAAATGTAAAATAAATACATTACCTTTACTTAATTCAGTTGAGTGCAATCAGCTGACATCATTTTTTATGTAAGTCTACTACATCTGGTTTTTGAGTGTATAATAAATACTATAAATTTGTTGGTTTTGTGGTTTCTAAAACCTTTTAGAGCTGTAATCATAATACAGTGAAACCATGATATTTTTTCTCAAGTTTATCATACCGTCAGAATTTCATACCGTACCATGCATCCCACTCTGCCAATTCAAACTCTTGAACAGAACTCAAGCATTTTGTAAGATTCAAAGCTGTCAATGTCAGCCCAGCAAAGAAAGCTGTCCCTCAAGCTAACAAGCAGGAACTTAAAAGTGCTGAGGGCTTCGAGGAGAGGGAACATGTGGAAAGCAGCAGACCCTGGTAACATACCAGGATGTGTGCTCAGGGAATGTGTTGACTGCCTGGTTCTGGTTCTCACTGACATCTTTAACATTTTACTGAACCAGGTTCTCATAGCAGCATGTGTCAAGATTGCTTCACATCCTCCCTGTGCCCAAATCACCCAGAGCCACGTGCCTTAACAATTACTAACTTGTAACTCTTTCTCCTACCATACAAAAAGAGAGGCCATTCCCAGACTCTCTCCAACACTCAACACCTAACAATTTGCTTATCATCCAAATTGATCACTGTCTTTGCACTCCAACTTTTGACCCCGGTACATCTGGACAAGACCATGCATGTGCAAATGCAGTTTGTAGGTTTCCATTCAAACCATCACCCCTAAGTTTTCAGTACACAAACTGGCTTCTCTGGGCTTCAACACCCCTGCATACAGCTGGCTGCATGTGTTCCACACAAACAGAACCAAAATTGAGTGAGCTATACTGCACCAGATAGTTAAAAAAAAGAGTGGAGTGAGCTATTTCTGAAAATGTATACTTTTTGTGGCAAGCTAAATACAAGTTGTTAAATATTATAAAATCAGCAGACAAATGACCTTAAGATGAGGATAAGTTTTGCTAAATCTAGATTTCAAAAATATGCTCCATTGATTCACTTAAAGATAAAAATGTTTTTTCATTAAACTCAAGTCCAGACAGCATTTCTACAACACTGCACAATGTCTGCTGCAGCTACATTCTAGCCACAAGCGTGTGTCAGCCCATTTGATTAGGTTCGTGGAATCTCAGATCAACCACTGAGTGAGTCCAATTCTCAGAGTGGAAAAAAAAAGTGTACTGGTCGCAGCCAGGAAAAAGGTCAGAGACATTGTGGCTTTCTCTGACCATTATGTAAGAATAGCCATACCCAGAAGTGAGTTAAAAAATTAGAATCAGCAATCTAGAAGTTCAAATTATAATAAGCTACAAAAACTTTGCAAAAAAATTGAAAGCAGAGAAAAACAAACACTAGGTTTCCAATGAGTGCAGTGAAAAATATATTGAAAAACTTTGTGGAAACTGTAGTGCAAGGATTTTCTGGTGTATACTATGGTAGGGTTGGGCAGTTGGCAAAACAAAAAAAAAAAGACTCACCATTAAGCGTGGCATTTAGCTGATAAATGTAAATATGACAGTTTACCCCCGGAGTATAGGAAGGTGCCGACACATCCTAGTCACATGACCATTTTAATTGTTCCAGTGGAAAATACGTATTCTCTTTAAAAATTCAAAAGTGTCAAAAGACTTTAAAGTGACACCAGTTTCTGAATTGTGTCGATACTAAAATCAGAGTTACGATAAATAATTTATGGAACTTTTTTTAACGAACGTCAAATTTGAAGTGTGTTGCAACGGGAAGCAGCAGGAAAGATGGGCAGTCTCATGGAAAAAACAACTGAATCCACACTCTGGTCTCACCCCAAAAACTAAAACCCTCAAACTCCTTTTGTGGCCTGAAGTTATTTGAAAATCTAAAAAAAAATCTACAAAAAGAAAAATAAAAAGACATGTAAGTTGAATAAAATTTGGCAGCAATGGAGAGAGACAGAAAGATCATTGAGTGAGCATTGAGATTTGAGAGATCTGTGACATTTAAACGTGTTTGGATTTTATAATTAGGGTGGTTTAGTGTGGTTAGCATTTAGTTTGTCAGTTTTAGGATATTTTATTAAAAACAATGAGGCGATTATTGAACATGTTGCTGCAGCTGAATGAGACTGAAGTGGAGCTTTGGACAAAAAGATGAACTGATGAACCGCAGTCCAAACCTTTTCAGACAGAAGAGGGAAGCTAAAAGGTAGAGATGGAGGGGAAACAACTGAGTGAGGACTTTGACGAGAAAGTAGGGGAGCCATTATTTGTTTTAGTAGAAGAAAGATAAGGGGCGCAGTGAGCGGACTACCGAGGAAATCACAGGTATGCCAGTCTGATCCTGTGCAACAAATATTAATCAGTGACAGTTTTTCTGATAATTAAGTGTACACAATACAATACTGCCCGACCCTATACTGTGGCTACTTCAGCACTGTTATGGGACCAAAGGACCTTTGAGTAACATAAAGTGCAAAACAGTGAGGAAACTTGATTGAAAATATCTTAAAGGGGCAATATCATGTAAAATCAACTTTTTTGAGTTTTATATCATGTTATAATGTTATACTCTCATAAAAAACATGTCCATAGCCTTGCTCTGACTCATTCATGCATGTTTGAGAAATCCTGCAGTGTTTTTAGGAAGCCATGCTGAGGAGCAAAACGACAGGTGGGGACCAGAAACGCCTTTTGGTACCAGAAACACCCCTGGGACGTGTCATTAAGCTGAACTTCCTCATGGCAGAGCGCACCCCCCCACACACACACACACTACCCACACGCCCCGCCCATGACTCCTGCAGGCTCTCGGGTCAAAGTGAAAGTGAAACCTAGCTGTCTGCTGAGCTCTCAACGTTAGTTCTCACTCAGTGAAGCTCTATTCAGATTAAAAATACCTTTGAGGAAATGTATTTTCAGATGCCAAGTGAACTGCATCATAGCACACGCGTAAACCCCCCACCCCCCACTCCCGCCACCGAACGGGACGGAACTGAAGCAGAAGGAGGTTCTTAGAGACAGAGGCCTATTTCAAGGCGTTTAGAAGAGGAAGTGATGAGAAGATGAGTTAATTTTCTATTTAAACATAAAAACAGCATTTTAATAACAACTAAAGGTGAAATAGATACTTTATTATGG